TCGAGGACATAAAAGCTTACCTTGCAAGCTAACTATCCAAGCCAAGAGTCCACACAAGCTCAAAGTCCACAAACAACAAGATCATAATCTGTTTTAGACCAACAATCATATCAATATTCAAACACAACAAACATATGATATAAAGACAATGTCTTTCCTTAAGTTTCATGCCTTTAGGCTTCTCACAAAGCCATAAGCTCTTAATCACTTAGATTCTGACTTAGATTAATTATTACAGAAGTCCACCTTAGCCAATCATGGGTCCACAAACCCAAAATAGCATTATGTGTGAACAGTACAGATACTGTTCTCGAAAACCCAGAATATCCGGATATTTGTCGGGGCCATATCCGGATGTCATATCCGGATATCCACATTCGGATATCTACAGAGCCCATATCCGGATATTTCGCGACAGAATGCAGTTCTGCATTTTCGCGAAGATATCACTCAAAGGTTCAACTTATACCATTAACATACGTTCAAGACTCCATTTTTAGGCACATATAGGTTCATATACTGGTTGGTTACTTAAGCAACTCATTAAACATGCCAAGACTCCATTTTTAACCATTAAAACTCATGATCAAGGTTGGTGAAGCTTACGCAAGGTCAAAACAGAGGTATAATGACTCTTGGAGCTCACCAAACAGCTCCTCAAGCCCTGACTTCTCAAAGGCACGAAAATGGTATCAAGGTTGGCCCTTTCTTCACAAAGGTCACCACTTGGAGTTCCCACAACCAAGGAAATGGCTCCCACTCTTCAACCCAAGAACTCAGCCCCCAACGCTCACTCAAACAGAGGTAAAACAACTCAGAAGGCACCCTCATCTCTCTTACAACCACTCTACCAAGTGTTTACAATGTCTAAAAGAGAAGAATCAATGGAAAAAGAGATGACTTGAGAGTTTTTCAAGCAAGAAAGGTCATGGAGAAGTTGACAAGCCTGAAGACATATACATAGCAGCCAAACTCACGCATAAAGGCTGGAGAATCAGCCTAGGGTTGTGTGAAAGGGTCTATTTATAGGCCACTTAATTTAATCACACAGTATTAGTGCTAATAGCTACGCTTAGTATTTTAATCCCAAACTCAGGATTCTGAACCTACTCATTTTTCTAGGATTTATCATATTTTTATTTTATTTTTCACAGCACTTTTCCAGTACGCGCTTTTACTTAGCCAGTATCCGTTCTGACACCAATTCACATCATTTTGACTTGAAACTTGTTATGCTTGTCCTATATATTATTCTAGTAATATATACACACTTTTTATAATTTTTCGGGATACTTCATCGGTACCCATTTATACCGTGAGACAGGACCGTTATTTGCGCTTTTCGTCAGACAAACGACTTTCCACATTATTTAATCACTTACCATAATTATTTAAGCCTTATCATAATTATTAGGGTCAATTATGGAATTATCTCATTAATCTCATAATTAATTAATTAAATTTCTTAATTAACGGTGCGGGTTCTTACACTAAGCCTGTCAATACCCCCATGGATCTAAATGTCAAGCTTATGCCAAATCAAGGGGAGTTATTTTCAGCTCCAGAAAGGTATAGAAGATTGGTTGGGAAGCTGAACTATCTTACAGTTACACGATCAGACATATCATTTGCAGTCAGTGTAGTTAGTCAGTTCTTGAATTCTCCTTGTGAAGATCATTGGAATGCAGTGATCTGTATCGCCAAGTACATCAAGAATGCTCCAGGTAAATGTCTCATCTATAAAAACAAATGTCTTACCAGAGTTGAGGGATACTCAGATGCTGATTGGGCAGGTTCTCTCAGTGATAGAAGATCCACGTCTGGGTATTGTGTATTCCTTGGAGGTAACTTGATTTCTTGGAAAAGCAAGAAACAAAGTGTAGTTGCCAGATCAAGTGTTGAAGCAGAATATCGCTGCATGGGCACAACCACCTATGAACTTATCTGGTTAAAACAACTATTAAAGGAACTCAAATTTGGAGACATTGGCACATCATCTCTCATTTGCGATAATCAAGTTGCTTTACATATTGCTTCAAATCCAATGTTTCATGAAAGGACCAAACACATTAAGATAGACTGTCATTTTGTTAGAGAAAAAGTCCTCACTAGAGATATAGTCACTAGTTTTGTTAACTCAACTGATCAATTAGTCGATGTTTTCACTAAGTCTTTGAGAAGGCCTAGGATAGATCACTTATGTAACAAGCTCGGTGCATATGATTTATATGCTCTAGCTTAAGAGAGAGTGTTGTAAATAATAGTTTAGAATAGTAGAAGTTCCATATCATGTATATCTCTTTGTATTTTCTTTCTTTTAAGTTATATAATAGACTCTCCGCTGTGTAGTTGAAACACACAGATTACTGATAAATCTCCTTATTCTTGATATTCAACAATTCCTAATCAGGAATTACACTAAGTTTTTTTCGAAACAAGGAATTAAATTATTATGACAAAGTTTTAATCATGTAGTCAAAGAGTAAACTAATTTTTTAAGCTAATTTATTTAAAAAAAGTTAAATTAAAGTTATTTTCAGCTTAAAAAAGTAAAAATCATATTTGACAAAAAAAAGGTGAGAATATGTCAAGAAAAAACATTATCATATCATCGAGAAAATTTAATATTTATTTGAGAAAAACGGGTGAAAATTCAATGCTAAAATAGATAGATATTATTTTAGTACATAAATAGATAAATATTTTAATTCTAATAAACTATACATTCCAAACAAATTAATAGATATAATTCAACAAATTACCACCATTAATAAATGAAAATTAATAATTTAGATAGACAATAAATTTCTTAATTTTAGAATTAAAATATCCTCCCAAAGTTAAGCATTAATTTTGTTTAAAAAAGAAGGACATAAATTTAGGATATTTGAAAAAAAAAAAGTGCCGTATGGGTATAAATGTGCCATGTTAGGCTAAGCTTTGACTTTGATATTTAGAGTCTATACTGACCTATTAGTCTATTAAAGATTTGATTTATAGGTCTACCCTGATTTATTATAAAAAACTAAAAATCATAACATAGTCCGTAAGGCCTAACTAAAGTTTATAGCCCAAATCAAATTGAAATATAAAATATGAAATTTCTTATTCTCAAAGATTGTATGAAATAATATTTTCATTAATAACACATGAAAGAATGTTCATAAAGATCACATGAAAAATTCATATATATATACATATAACTTATACTTTCTTTACTAATTTAATTTAATATTATATTTTAAATTTAAATAAATATATATTATTTGTTAAAATAACATCAATTTTGTTACTTTGAAAATTAGTGTTATAAATCATGATGTCAAAATATGTGTTTAAATGAATAACATATATCATAAATATATTATATTATTAAAAAAATTAAAAGACTACCCGAGTTCGACTGGCCAAGTTTGTAAAAACCCACGAACCGACGAGTCAAAATCAACCCGGTTTACTAACAACAAATTATACCCACGAAACAGCTTTTCATGCCATCATTTGATTTCGAGTGATTTATAAAGCTTTTCTCACTTTATATCATGGCCGACGCGGGTCTTCGTAATTTCAAAATCTCAAATACAAGTAAGCTTAAATGGGCAAAGGTGGCGCTGACATTAAGTTCTGATCTCTTCTAACTTCCGTCCTTTCCTTGTTTATTCATTCTCACTATGCTTCTAACTTCTAAACTCTGATCAAACTGTGTTGTATTTGAGCTATTAGCATCTGTGCACTTCTAGAAAAAAAGTTAAGCTAGAGCAAATTATGCGTTGGAGTTTACTCCGGAATCTGGATATTTATGCAAAGCAAAAGGAGGCAGAATTATGCATACCAACAAACCATGTAAAGCTGTTCAACTAAGAATTTATATAGTGCACGAAAAATCCATACTGTCATACATCAGAATGTTTCTCACACATCATATTCAAAATGTTAACAAGAGAAATAGTAATAAAACTGAAGAGGGAAAGATAAATCTGCCTCCTAGTTGAATATGACATACAGCTTACAACTGTCCGAGAGTGTTTGTTCTTTTTGTTTAATTATTCATTTTACTTTGTTTGAATGGTTGTACATTATTATCTTTGTTCTCATATCTAAGTTTTTTTTTTTACTTTAACTTGTAATAAGCAATCTGATTTCACTTTCAGAGCAAGAATTGATTAGCTGTGTCGAATCAAATAATGGATGCAAAGGTGGACATTTCATAAGCTTTTTTTGGTACATAAAAAAAGTGGTGGTATTGACACAGAAGAGAATTACTCCTATATTGGTGTTGAAATTACATGCGATCCAACAGAGTTAATCTGTCTTTATTATTCGATGAACTAATAAAATAAACACTTGTGACAGTTTGCAACTCTGATACTTTATTTTTTTTTCTTTGTTGCCTTGTCTATAGACTAGAGTTATTACAATTGATGGGTACAAAAAATGTTCCTGTGATGAATTAGCCTTGAAAAAAGATGTTAGAAAGCATTATATTGCAGCTGTAATTGGACTGCTTTTCCTTTTATAATCGAATAATGCATGTGCTGAATGAACCATTGTAGGATACAAATGACTTCGGGTCCCACTTATATGTGATGAAAAGGATATTGAAAGACAATAAGGAAGAAAAAAAAAAACTATAGTTGCTTGTTTTACATAAGAAATGATTGGGTGAGATATATTAACTTTTCTAGTTGGTTGATATTTTTAACCATTGTTTAAGTAAATTAAGTTTTAATACTTGTAATTTATTATTTTTTATATTATAATATTTGAAATTATATTATTTTTATTAATATTCAAGTAAGTTTAAATTTTTTTTAATATAAATTATAAATTTACATATACATATCGAGTCATGCAATTAAAAGTGATCAATCAGTGACTCGTTGACCCAGTAACTCAGACCGAGTCAATAACCGATCGATGTTTTACAACATTGCTTTTTAGAGTGGGTATGTGGATTAAATTTTAATGAAAGAAAAAATAGGATAAAAAAATAAATAAATAAATAAAACCTGAGACAATTTGAGCTGAGACAATGTGTTGAAACTTTAAAGATTATATTCTTCTTCTTCGATCCAAAAGCATTAGGGTTTAGAGAGTTGCAGCTTGCACTTCGTTAAGAAAACTAATTCGCACTGATTGATTGGGATGGCAGACGAAGCCAACAGAGCGGTAACAACTCATTGTCTTTCTATGTGAAATTTTGATCCTCGACTCTTCCTGTTCCTGTAACTTTTTTTTTTTTTCATCCAAAAACACAGGCTTTCCTTGAAATTCAAGGTCGCATGATTGAGACTACTGGGAAAATAAAGCAGGTTTGCCAAAATTTGTCTTAATTTTTAACTGTTATGATTAATTTGATGATTAGTAAGGGCTAAAGATAAAGATGATCGTGAAATTAGTGATTAGTAGTTAATATTTAGTCTTTTGTTCCGTTTACTTGAAATATGAAATTTAAAAGGTTATTTTTTGTATTTATATTTCAATTAATGTGAGGTTAAGTATTGGCCACTAATTACTAAAGTTACAAGTATCTCACAAAACAACGGGTACTGAATTGAAGTTTGATCAATGAAACTAATTATGGTGTTTTTCCAGTATTTGTTTCCTGGCCATATTCTTACTGTTTGGAATAGTTGATAAGAAGCTGTTATGTTGAAAAAGAGGATTTGATACACACTATTATTATGACTTACATTACATTTTGCTGACTTCTAGCACCTCCAAGATGTTGTGTTGAAAGTAGTACTACTTGTGTATGAAAGGATGTGCTTGCTTTGCACTGCTATCAAATCTCACAGAGAGTACTTATATCTGAGTTCTGAAAGAGAATGTAATTTTATTTATTTAGAAGTGGCAAAAATAAAAAGAAGGAATGAAAACCTTGACATTTGTATTTTGCATCTCGGAGTTATATGCTTATTAGGGGTTTCCTGAAACTCTGGAAGTTTATATTATCCCTTGGCCCTGCAGGTGCAAAACCAGATGCGTTCTAAAGAAGCAGAAAAGAAGCGTGCTTTTTTGACCTTGGAGGAGCTGAAGCAGTTGCCTGATGATACTAATGTTTACAAATCCATTGGTGTGTAAAGAAAATCATAAGCTCGTGTTAATGCTTGCTATTCTTAAAGTTAAAACAGTCCTACAAATTTCAAGCTTTGTATTGAAGTATTAGTGGATGCCCTAATTTTCTATAGGCAAATGATGACTGCATTTATTTTGTTTTTTGCAGGGAGAACGTGAGTTGTGATTACCTATTTGAGCATGCTTCTAAACGGAGTACATGAAAGCTTGATTTATGAGCTGTTTAGAAAATGTAAATGATGTACTCTAATACACTTTCAATATCATGGTCAGGTTTGTATTGGAGACCAAGGCAACATTAATGAGTGAACAGGAGAACAAGTTCAAGGATAGTGAAGCTTCAATTACCTCATTACAGGTATATGTCCTTCCACCATTTTTGTACTTATTTATTATTTTCTCAATGTTTCTAAACTGTACATATGAGTTTCCACAATGTTTGAGTGAAAATCTGTTCTTTTTCTATGGCTTTGGACAGAGCTCAAAAGAGTACTTGGAGAAGCAGACGGCAGAAATAGAAAACAATTTGAGAGAGCTGTTACAACAAGATCCTGGTCTTGCTCGTCAAATTATGTCTATGAATGTTATGTAAACTTTCCATTATTGAAATTAACTGCGAGTGGTGGGTTGTTTTCTAGTATTCTGAGCAAATAGAAAAATTCAGGACATGTGAGACTGTGAGGTTATGTACTGTCTGCTTCATGGATGATTTTCCATCCTTCTTGAAATGTTGACTTTGAAGGAATTGTTGTTAAGTTATCTTAATTCTTAGATTGTCATGTTTAATACATGTTAGGGAGTCCTTATTAGCCTTGTGCAGTGTGCTTATACTTGCAGACAATTCTCAATCAGTGTATGTGTCTGCTATCTCATTTCTGATGTGAGAAGGCCTTGCTGCACTTAGATGTAGCAGTTGGTGATTATGGATAGTATAACTATATTCAGAAGGGGGGAGGGGGGAACTCTTGTAGAAACCCTAGTGATATCGAAAAATTTTAAAAGGGAAAACTTGCAACCAAAGTTTAATTTATATAATTTTAATAGCTATAGACAAAAACAAATTGATGTGGTTATTTAATTTATGATTGATCAAACAGATTAATTAGCTAAATTGCTCCTTCGGTATAGGTTCTTCAAAACATTTATTCATGAGTTTCACAAATCTTATAATAGTTATAAACATTGGAGTAATAAAGTCAATGCAATAGTTAGGTAAGGAGGTAAATAAGCCACACAATTTATGAAGGGGCTTATGACCTAATTTATATTAAGCTTGACCTGTATGTTTAGTAAAATATAATAGGTTTATGTCTAAAAAAATAGCTGCCTGAAAACTAGACCATTGGTCTATTTTTAAAAAGCATAACCTATAAGCATGTAAAACCTGGTCTACTTTTAAAAATTAGAAAAGAATAATTAAAAAATGAAATAATATTATTTTAATTATTCTTTTCTAATTTTTATTAAATCTAAAAAACCTGGTAGTTTTAAATAGGCTAATAGATTACACTAGCCCTTTTATTTTGTAAAAATAGGTTTAGTCAAATATATAATTTAACATAATTAAACTATTAATTGTCAAACTTAAAATATTTTACAAAAAGATTTGACCTATTGCTACGAAGAATTAGCCTAAACTAGTCTATTTACATCACACCGTTGTCCTGCAGCTCTTTCCAAATATACCTCAACGTTTGGTGGTGAATGACCATAAACAATACATGCAAATAAAACACAATTTTATATTTAACTATCAGTGAAGCAAATTCAAATGAGCCTGAACAAACTTGAGAACAGTAATCAAAATGTCATTTTTTGCTAAATTTTTTACCCAAATACCATACAAACAGTATTTCTTACTAGACTATCACGTGTCATAATTCGCTATCACTGGTAGCAAATTATGACACGTCAGCTTTTTCCTGCAAAAGTATCACATGTCATAAAATCATTGGCGAACATAATTTGCTACCAATCGTAACGAATTACACCTACGTGGCAATCTGGTAAAAAATACCGTTCGCGTGACATTTTTGAATAAAATTTTTTGTCAAAAAGTGACATTTTGATCACTGTTCGATACACTTGCACCGTCAAGTCTCCTATAGTTGTACTTGATTTTCTTTCATTTCATTATGTCATTAATCTTTAAACAGGAACACTATATTAACCATATCACAATTACAGCACATTTATTAACCCAGATGTGTAATTGTCATTTTATTCCGATGGAACAAATGTGTACTAAGATTATTCGCCTTCCACATTACATCAAGGTACCAACTAATGAACTAAACAGATTAAATGACAAAGTTTCTTCCTTACATCAAGAGCTTTAAAGTTTATTTATAGTCCTTCATAAACATAATAGTCTTTGCTCTTCTTCTACATGAAGTTTCTTGGATCAAGTCATATGGTCCAAGAAATCAGGAATTTTGAAACTGGGATTTGTAGATGTCATAACCAGAAGTGGGTGGAGTTACTGGACACAACCTTACAGAGAAAGAGTATGGCACAGCAGGAACCAAATACTGGTCGTGGACACATGGGCTCCAACTATCATCTCCACCCAATCCCATATGCTTGTGGTCCAGATGAATCTGTAATACCATAAAACAATTTGAGAAAATGCCACACCAGAGAGATTAAGATGGAAAATCAAGTAATGATAATAATTTCCACAAAACTTGATATCATAAATCAAAAGTTGGCCATATTGCCACCTCTTAAAACTCTGATTGCAGATCACCATTGCAAGCAACAATCAATCAACTAATTGCTCATGAATATATTTGTATGAGGAAATCCATTTAAAGCATAGGACACAACCACAATGTACTCAAATGCAGCCCAAACTGGATGAATGTACATGACATTTAGTTGCAAATATGTCAGCTTTTACAAACTTTTTGGAAATATTGAATGTTGCCATCTAATCTTTAGGCCCAAATGCAGTTTTCTGCCTCAGCTTCAAATGTTATATCTGATAGCCAATTCGGATAAACTAAACAGTAAGCACCATGATATTGATAAATTAGGGTGCAATTTTCCATTTTTAAAAAATAAGGAGGAAACTAGGACCCAAAGATAGAGTAGTAAAGTGCAATATCCCCGGCAACTTCTGGACTAGTCCTGGAAGGAACATATGCAAAAATATTGATGCAAGTTATAAATACCTCAATTGTATCTCCTTCAATGAGCTCATAATTGTGTGTGGCCCGGTCAAGTTCTGAAGTGCTATAGTAGCTTGCACTCATTTGCATGGGTGGAGAGCTACCGTACTTAGAAGCATATATTCCAAAACCATTTTTATTTCTGAATGTCGCCCATCTAATATCTGCTCTCCCTGAACATTCCCCAGGAACAATATAAGGAACATGCAAGTCTTTAACATTCTGTTCATATACCGCAACCTGGGCAGCAGCCTTTCGATCTGGATAACACTCAAATGGACCTCTTCCATACCAAATAACTTGATCCAATGATTTCTCCACCTCGAACTCAATCCCCACACGTGGAAAAGGAGGAAGATCAGGGTTTGGTTTCACATTGCATTCCATAATGACATCCCCAGAAGCATAAATTGTATATGTCATGTCTGTGGTAAATAAAACCTTTGACTTGGCTTGCTTAGAGACAGAACCCTCCTCACCCTTGGTAACACCAAGAAAAACCACCAATATTTTAACCAAGTTCTCTGTCATATTCTGTACAGAACAGCTTTCAGTAATAAAGTGGATATTATCAATTCCAGCAGCTTTCCATTTGGACAAATAACTATCTAGTCCGCCCCCTTTATCGTTATCAGTAGGAGCTCGCCAGAAACATGGGAGTATGCCCTTACTGATAACTTGTACTCCTTTAACCTAATATTTAACAGTATAATGTTAATACCAAGTGTTTAGTCAAGAGTCAAAATAGCTGTAAAGTCAAACAAAAATTTGAAAATAAGAGACAACATAACTATTAAAGAGAAAACATAAAGAAATATACTCCAAATTTTTTGAATCTTTTTGTTTTTCATGTATTTCAAAACTCAAATATTTGCTTTTGATGGAGAAAAAAGCATTATTAAAAAGAAAGGAACAAAGTACAGTGGTGGTGAGGATAACGTGTCCTCAGGAGTCAGGACCATATAAAAAATAAAACGAATATGAAACAAACAAAGACCAAAGTAACAAAGAAACTAGGAATGCAAAGGACGGTCCAATCTCTTCACAAATTAGAGATGGGAAGACCCTTGAAATAACTCAGGGCCGAGCACCAGAAGGAAGCTAGGAACACTAACCCCACCCGAAAGAAAATTTTGGGGCAAGGAGATACCTTGTGCATACCACTCGAATATGAGAGGGAAATAATGATGCAACAAGGGGTAAGGAAGGACACATGCAGCATAAAGCAGTGGGGGATGCAACTGTGGGGGCAAAAGGGGGAGTGTAACAAAATGTATATGTGACAGCAGGGTACTTGAGAGAGAAATTCTGGAATGATGCAAAAGAGAGAGGAGAACATGAGTAAGAAAAAGGGAAAGTAGTGGAAAGGCATAGCAGATTTTGGGAATCAATTGGGAGCTTAGGTAAAGGGGAAGAATTTGTTATTGCAGCTTGACTCTTACAAATTTTTTTATTTTTTTTACAGTGTTCACCATTGTAAAAGGAGCTTTGCTCTCTGATTTTGTCATCTATTTAAGTGTCAATACCAGTTTCTATCATAAATATAATGTCAAAACCTTGAACCTAAAAAAATTTAGGTTTGGACAAATAACAGTTTAATCTAATATCAAACACTTGTGTTCTATTGTCTCAGATACAACAGCCATTATTCAAGATATTTCTTTACTTTAAAACATAAAGCCAGGTCATACTATTTTCAGAAGACATTAGTCCAGTATTCTATTTCAATATGGACTGCAACAATAAACTCAAAATCAAGATTTACCTTCCAGCTTTCAACTAAACCTGTTTTAATGTTCAATGTTATGTCCCAAACATCTTGCTGGCTGACTTTGATTGCATCTCCTAGTGTTTCTGTGACTAGAGTGCCACCTCTAATATTGACAGCCTGGATACAAAAAATTATTCACAAGATAGAAAAATAAAAAATGAGCGACATCAGCTGAGAGAGTAAATTACTAAACCTTATCACTCAGCCCTAAAAAGAGGTAGGCCTCAGTTCAAACATAAATCAATGTATTAAAAAGATTACATGAGGAACAATGTCTCTCCTGGCAGGCAGTTGGAATTGGGTTGATGAAACAATATGACCAGCTTCAACCCAAGGCGTGGAGTTCAAAAGCTTAACAATTATAGTCAGGAATACTTCTTCTGACGATGATGAAGCCCATAGAGAATACCATGGACCTGACTTCCAATCAACAGCATAACTGCTCTGGGGCTTTATTGGGGCAAGACTCAAAATACCAGATCCAAGGCTGTATCCATCAGCAGAAATATACCAGCTGAACTCCAATCCTTCTGTTGTTTGAAAAAAATGAGTATTTTTTATCTGCAAAATAAAAACTATAATAAATTATCAAGTGATTTGACTAAGGGAATACAAAATCTCAATGAACTATGAGTACCTCCAATTTCCCTTCATGTAAAGTCACCTTGATTGGTTGGTATAGGTACTTGACTTCTGTAACAAGAAGAAAAGCCATGACTAATGATGTAAACCGCGGAAGAATGCAAACATTCCAAGGTGGTTTATGCAAAATGATACAATCTGTCAGTTTACCGTGTAAAGCAGGATGAGGAGTTCGATCAGGCCATATGAGGCCATTTAAACAGAAATTCAAGTCATTGGGAAAATCCCCATAGTCACCTCCATATGCCCAATGCTTTTTACCATCTACATGAATCTTCAACAGGCCCTACACGCAAGTAAAGTACAAAATCTTTTAATCCTACAAAATGATTTCCTCATGCAAGTAAAGGCTTTTGATCATTTTATTAACAAATAAATTGATTCAGATTCCATGAATATTATATTATTGTTTGATGTACTGCACAGGACATTAGTAATAAAACATTACTTAGAAGAAGAAAATATAATTTCAGAAGGTCAATGAAATAAAAGCAAGTAGGACTTGGAATTGCAAGTAGTAACTGACAATATAATAAATTAATAATCAAATGGCTAAGATATATCTAGGTCAACATAAAAATGATCATAACATGCTACTTGTTATCTACTACAGACAAGTAACGAATTGACGTGTAATCTTGAAAAGACATGACATCAACAATAGAGCGGTTCCACTAAAACTATCTAGCAGCAAAGAAATCATGATAAATTAGGACAGAGTTTCTTCAATTGTAACAGATCAAAGTGCTTCACAAAACTAGTAATTTGGTTCAAATTTCATTCGGAAAGAAAACATGGATATTTATGGACTATTTACAGGAGGCTACAGTAATAAATAAAAGAAAAATTGGTTAGAATTAAAAAAATCCATAAAACCCTCAAAAATTGAATGTATTTGATAGGAATACACCAACCTTCACCATGCTATGCATATTAAGTGGAGAGATTTTATTATGGACGGATACCGTATTAATTATGGGTATCAATGCAGTTCTATGTTTATGAGGTTGATTTAAGGGTTATTGATTCTATAATTATGAGTGATGATTCTGTAATTAAGTCTGATTGATCATGTAATTATGGGGAATCTGTTACAAATAGGAGAGAAGGGGAGGTCATTAGGCAGGCTATCGAGTGGTTAGAATTAAGAGAGACAAAGTGCTTGTTGAAAGCCCTGGGTAGGGAGGTTGCAACCCTCAAAGTTCTGCAGTATTGAGTCCTTTTATTTTGTTTTGAGTGAGTTGATCCGTTGTATTTGGGTTTATCCCTAGTTATAATAAAAATTTCCAGCTCCTATCGGTAGCTACATAAATGCATTACTACAAAGTAAAGCTTCATGATACTAGGTGCAGCATCCAGGTTCATTATTAATAAAAACAAATGAACTACTGCATTGATTTCCGGAGAAAAATCAGTAACATTTGTATCATCGTTTGTAGCTGTCAGCACCAAACTTGCACATTGAACCTTCATATTTTTATAATGGTTGGATTCTCTCCACTCTATTGACAGAAATAGTATATGATAATTTCCATTTTGGTACATCAGCTCCTGACTTCCTTTTGTTAATGGCTGGAAATTTCTCATACCTTATTGCACAAAATCCATCTTGAAGAAAGTATAATTTCCTTTGACATAGTTCAATTTTTATGCAAAGTTTATCGTTCATCAGATTTGGTTTATGGTATTCAAGGACTGTTCACCTGATCAACCCAATCCCAAATAAAGCCTCCTTGGAGTCCAAATGTGCTGTCAATTGCTTCCCAATATATATGGAGGTTCCCATTGCTGTTTCCCATTGCATGTGAATACCTACCATTTGAGTTGGGAATGACATATGAAAATGCTATAATTATCTATCACTGAAAACAATAGGAAATATTAGAAATCTATGTTGTTGATGTGAAACAAGGAAATCATACTCGCACAGTATCAGAGGACGTATTTCAGTTGGATCATTTGCAATTTTCACCATGTCCCAAACACGCATATACATGGGGCACACAATATCAGTGCATGGAGTTCTGGATCCACCTCCTTCATAATGTAATACCCGTGTTGAATCTCTTCCTCGAATCCAACCTGATGCATTAACAAAATGGAGAGAAGAAGAAAAAAAATCAAGAAATAAGATTAGTAAGCACTTTTTCAAATAAACTGAAATGGCACAGTCAAGAAATAGATTGCTTCAGATATGCATATGCCCAAAATCAGGGTAAGTAAAGTAAAGTGTTTTTTTTCTTCTTCTTTTTTTGTTAACAAAAGTACAGTACTTACCAGCTAAAGCAAAATGATTTGGTCCAAATCCAGATTCATTCCCTAAAGACCAGGAAATAATACATGTGTGATTTTTGTCTCTCTCAACCATGCTGATCACACGATCCAGCATTGCAGTTGCCCAAATTGGTTCCAAAGTAGGATGCTTGAGATGTTTAGAATAATCAAAACCGTGCGTCTCAATATTAGCTTCATCTATCATGTACATGCCAAATAGATCACATAGCTCATACCAACGCGGATGTTGAGGATAATGGCTGTTCCTCACAGCATTAATATTGTTTTGTTTCATTAAGACCAAATCCTGTAGGCACAGCAATAATTAGTGTCTGAAAAGTGAGAACATCTAGCATGTCGCCATGATAAAGAGATGAACGGACAATCTTATTGAAGAAACTAAAAAAAGACAGACAAGCAGTACCTTGACCATGCAGGATTCTATGTTTGCCTTCCCCACTCGTGGATGATGTTCATGCCTGTTCACACCTCTTATAACAACTGCTTGTCCATTAACAAGCAACTGTTTGTGGGCTTTAGATACTTTTCTAAATCCCACTGGACATGATTCACAATCAACAATACGGCCAGATTGGTCTTTGAGGATGACAACTAGGGTATAAAGGTTAGGCTGTGAGAAATGCAAACAAAATAAAATGTCAAATGATAACTAAATAGGTAAAAGAGTAATACTAGGCCAAGACTGTCCGGCAAAAAAGTTAATATGAAGCTTTAAGAAAATTAAAACATATCAATAAACTTCTAATCACATTAAGTGATAAATTATCATCAGAACACAGACCTTCAACCTTTCAACCTTTCCATAAGAGTGCAAGGAACTTCATTCAAAAACTGTAACTTCAAAGATGAAAACCTGAATTTTGTTGATTCTCAAAAACTATCATGTACGAAGGGTTGCGGTATATATAGAAAATATTTGGCCGAAGGGAATAAACCCAAATAATAAGGAAATATTAATATAGTAAATACAAATAATTATAAATATTTACAAAACTGTATCTGCCCTATCACACACGGACATGAAAACTGAAATGATCTAGATAAAAAAAAATGCATGAGAAGGAGGTGACTTGACAAGAAACTCAGGAGACATCTGCAGGATTGCAGTCATTGAGTAAACATGGAATAAAAAAGCTTGATATTATTTCTTAATAGTAATTTACTCTAATCAATGAATAAACTCCACCCAAAAACATGAGAAAAGTGATTGAAATTTCTCACTTTCTCTGCAGACCAAAGCTTCGGTGATTGCAGCTTCCCCACGAGCAAATAACCATAAAACCCTAACGGTGCATCAGATGGTTGGAACTTTATGTCTGCTACATTAGATGAAAGGAGATCAGGATTCCCATCAGAGGTGTCCCAGCTTCCAGAATCATATAGTGTAGCTTCAATAGTGTAGTTTGAAAGAACACTATCCTTGGATGTCTCTAGTAAGTTATCTATTTTTACTTCAACCTGATTATATGTGCATAAGATTGATAATGTAAGATTTCCCAAATAACAATCATATATGCACATAAATATCATCTGTGTTATGGAATATCAATGACACAATGGGAAATTATTATAATAGAGGAGACAAAGATAAAATTCATTTTGTGAAAATATAACAAAGGTCAATTCATTTATAAATTTAGGTAATTGCATGGAGTTTTACAAAATAAAGATTTAAGGAGATAGAGACTAACAAATAATTAGATTTCGGTAAATTATTCCACAAACAAGACTTGTTACAGATATTTATGCTTACCCGTATCTCTGCGTAAGAAAAATCTTCAGCAAGGTTTGATCTGAAAAAATAGTCAGTGATAAATACCTACATACCAAATATTTTGAAAGATATTAGAACCAGCAAGAGAAAATAGTCAAACAGCTGAACAAATTGGAGTCTCTATATTGACAAAAAAAAAAAATTAAATAGAATAAAAAATACTCTCCATTAAACCCCAACTAGTGATAGTAGGGGTGAGAGCAATTCTTGTATGCAGCCTTACTCTTGCATATTTGCAAAGAGACTGTTTTCCGAATTCAAACATGTGACCTCTCAGTCACAAAGGAGCAGCTTTACCACTACTCCGACTTGCCCCCATAAAAAAAATTAAATAGAATGATAAATGTAAATAATTCTCAAACTTGAATTATATAGGACATTTAATTAATAAATGAGGTGCATTTAGGATCTAATTTTATTCTATAAAAATTATATAACCTCATCATAATGCTGAAAAAAATGTAAGCATCACATTTTCATTTTCATTAATTGCTTTCTTTTTTCCATTTTAGAATATGCATTACCATAAGTCTAATAAGAATGCTGCTTATAAATTAGACAAAGCAATAGTTGGTGAGGAGAAATTTAGAGAAAACAAACCTTCGGTTTGGCTAAGAGAAGAACATCACGGTGGATGCCAGATAACCGCCAATGGTCCTGATCTTCAAGGTAAGAGCCATCACTCCATCTAAACACTTGAACAGCTAGAACATTCTTAAGGTCTGAACCACATGGATGACAAAAATCAGTGATTTCAAACTCTGCAGGTAGCCTGCTGTCTTGGCTGTCCTTGCAAAATAATAAATTTGTTGTTAATGGAACCAAGAGTTCATTAATGTCAAAGCTTCATTTATATTATATTTGTTCTTCATATGTAATATGTGATAAAATTTTAGATTAATGGAACCAAGAACGATGCACAGGTCCACATACCTGTGCGAAGAAAGAAATTCCACTAGAAAGAAAGTGGGGGACGGTGAGGATCGAACCTGAGACATGAGACTCTGATACCATGTAAAGAACCACTTCAACCCAAAACCTTAAGGTGTTGGGTGAAGGCCTTTTTAATTATTTATATTATTCTCTAACTGACACTTAATGCCATATTGACCATAATAAACAGATAAAAGCCCTTTTATTTTGCATGACTATACTAAGACGAGCTGTCCTATTGTTTGTTTGCCCGGGACTGGCAGTAAAAGTGACTAGATGGTAAATGAACCTTGATTTCTTAGACAGCAACTAAAAGTATTTTCATCATTCCTGAAGACCACAGTTACAAACTTATCATCTATTTCACAATATGCCTTCTCATCTTGCATTGATGTTAACATTTTCTTGCCTATTTTCTTTATGTCCTCCTCACCATCGTGTTTTCTTGAGTTAAAAATACAGAAGCAGCATATCAACCAGCAAGTCATTGTGTTTGTGAATGAGTGACACATGTCCAAGAGAGAAAAAGAGAGAGATACCTATATCCAATAGGATGCCCGTTTATCCATGCACAAAAGGCAGAATCAACAGCTTCAAAATGCAACAAAATTCTTCTACCTATCAAAAAGCAACAAATGTTCAGGAGTAAATATTTTAAACTAAAAACGCAGTTGATAAAAAAGGAAGAACCGATGGTGACTTAAAACCAACAGAAATACAACAAATTGACTACAATTTTACAAAAGAAGATAAATATAAATAAAAGAGAATACAATTCTGGGAAGACTTGCATTATCAAGATCTATCATCAATCATTACAACCTACATTTTCTCAATATAAATAGTCAGTGAAACTAATTAAAATTTTAAAAAAAGTAGTTCACTAAACTCAACGTATAACGCATCATAATTACATTTAAAGTACAATGCACCATAGTTATAGAACTGAAGAATTGAATGGAAACTTAGAAGGAATGACAACACCAAATTCCTCAAAAGTGAATGTTGATCAACAAAAGGAAAAAACACTTAACATTGTTACAAAAAATTAAGTCATACCCTCCCATTCTTTAGGAATGTGGAAGTACATTCTGTAGCAGCCGGTAGGATTTTCCATAGGAACCGACGGAGGATCTAGTGGAAATGGATACGTAATATTCGTATATATAGGACGGTCAAATCCATGCAACTGCCAATTTGAAGGAACTGCCCAATTTTGAGGAAGGTAATTTAGACATAGATAAAAATGTCAGCACTTGTGAGAATAAAAAATGACATGAGTCTATTCACAAAAATAGATTTAAAATAAAAATATAAGAGTGATAATATTATTAAAAAAGAAAGCATGCTATAAGAGAATGACATCTTTAAGATGAATCAATTATCCAAGCCCAAATGGTCCGCAAGAAACAAAAAGAGGAACTAGAAAAGTATGATAACTAGGAGCCTATTGGCGGTTTCAACATTAAAAAAAAAAAAATGCCGCCTGTTACTTGTTGCTCTATCAACATGATATAGTTTTGACATAAATAAATAAACTCTCTACTATGAAACCATAACAAGCTATAATGATAAAGGGCAAACCCATGTGCACAAGGTTCCCCAACTTTGTGAGGGTAGGGGTGAAGATTGATTGTACGCAGCCTTACCCTTGCAATTTTGCAAAAAGGTTGTTTCCCAAGGAGCAACTTTTCCGCTGCTCCAAAGCTATAATGATAATAAACAATAGTTCATTTTATATATAAAAAAAAAGCTTCTACCGAGGAAAGGATAGTTACAAGAGTGAAGATTAGCAATAAACCACTCATCATGAAACCTCGACTTGCGAGGATAGAGGTGAGGAAATCCCTGTAATTTTAAAAAATAAACATAGAAAGAAAAATAAAGGAACCAAGAGGAGGAAAAAAACTACTCAGTATAATAAATCTCTCCAATCTTTCTGAATATTAGACACAAAAGCACCCATAAAAAGACCAGGGCAGAGAACCAAAGGGAAGCCGGGAGAAAAAAATTTGTCCCATGGACATATTTCAATAACTCCCTTTCAAAGATTCTGACATTTGTTCAATACCAATCCCCTTAGTACACAATTATTGATGTTAGGATTAAGGATTATTGATTTCATGATTGCTAAAAACATCAACAATCATCATTCCTAATTCCACAGGTATTTCATTCTATTTTTGTCCCTTAAATGATTGAGCATTTCTAAAAATCAAATACAAAGCACATCAAAGCGCTTCACTACAACAACAAACAATATAGCTAAGGAAATATAGAGGACTTGCTAAGCAAATATATGGACAAAAACACATGCACTTACCAGGCAAAGTTTTCCAATCTGAATCCTGGAACTCACTATCACAAAACTTAGTAGGGACACTGTTAGGATTGGTAGCAAAGAAAAATCTCCAATATCCAGACAAGGACTTAACAAAAGGCAAGTCTTTGACCCAAAATGCAGCACTATCAAGAGCTCCATCAAGAGCATCATCATTCCAAACAGCAGACTGGGAAACCAGAAAATCCACTTTGCTGCGTTGATACCAATATTTAAGAGATCCTACCCATAGCACAAAATTCCAGGTTATCCAAAAAGTAAAAGAAGCAAATATTCCAGAACATATAACCAAAAAAATAAAAAAAATCAGGCATTATTAATTTTAAAAATAATTTTAAGGAAATCCATAAAATTTAAAGAGTTTGTTCTTTCTACAGTCAATATAGATAAGTTAACTACGTTGAGTCCAAAACGATGTCATATTGGGATGAAAATCAAGGCATTTTGTAATTATAATTTATTTGAAGTTATAACAATATTTCTCATTATAATTTTTTAATCTTTGAAGTTATAGATAACTTATTTACGTTCATTAAAGCCAATTTTAAATTCATAGACTTGTTTTACAAATTTTACTCAGTAACTCTCTATCCCAAAAACCAGAGTCACTGGTTTAGCCTTATTTCTATGCAATGAACTATTGGCCTTAAAAAAACAAACCCATGAGTTTTAGAATGTAACCAATAATGTCTATCCTACTAAATCAACCCAAAACCCGAAAAGAACCCCATGTTACCAAACTAACCATAGAATCCCTGTAAACAAAAATCAAAAGTCAAAACAAAAACTTTTTGATCCAAAAAGCATGGAATGAGGGTGTATGATTCTGGGTTTACCTTCAATAGAATCATGGCAGTGCAAGGTAACATGTGGGTCCCTTTTCCTCCACTTGATGAAAGAAGGATCCTCCCACACCCTGTAACCATTCTGCGAAGCAAGTTGAAGTGGACCAACCAAAGAAGAAGCCATCATCACCAATCGAAGCTCTCAGTGTTTGGGACACAGAACGAGATGAAAAGCTTCTGTTTCTGCTTTTAAGGATCAATCATTGCATATTGAATCGCTGTTCTGTTGCTATATCATATCAGTGGCCAAAGCTAACGGAAGTGACACATGTGTCCCCGGTAGTGGTGGTTTAGTGCTACTAGAGGCATTTATTGGTATGAACACGCCACGACTTGTCGTTTTGGAGACCATGTTATTTTCAAGGGGAATAAAAAAAAGAGTAAATACTCTTTTTGTCGTCAGTAAATTCCACAATGTCTGTTTCAGTCCGTAGCAAATAAAAAAGTCCATCGTAGTTTCTAAGAAATTCAAAAATGGATCCATTTAGTTGAAATCGTGGTCCCTCACAAATTCAAAAAAGACCCATATTAATTCTCAAAAGACTAAAATGGATCCATTTTGAATTTTTTAAGGATCACGATGGGCCTTTTTATTTGCTTGGGACTAAAACGGGCATTGTAAAATTTGCTGAAGACCAAAAAGAGTATTTACTCTAAAAAAATTATTTTTTAAAAGGATATAATTTTGTGTTATTTTCGTCAATCAATTATTATAATGGGTTTTATTAATCTCATTTAACATAAGATAGTTATCTTATATTGTAGAGAGAAAATAGGTGGATCCCACCATTACAAGAAAAAAAAAAGGTAGGGTACAAAAATTGAAGTGAGAGAATATGAGAGAAGATATCTTATGTAAAAGGAGAGTAATATTTTCCTATTATAATTTAGAGAAAGGTTATACTTACAACTTATTTTTATTTACAACCATAATTTTAATCGTTGATTTCCGTCAATCAACGATTATCATTTATTACGAATTAATAATTAATTAATAAATTTAATTTGCGAAAATAATAACTGTTGATTGACGAAAATCAACGATTAAGATTATAGTTATAAAAAGTTGTAAACAAAAAATAGGTTATAAGTATAACCTTCCTCTATAATTTATACCCAAATTGTGCTTACACTTAGTTGACTCTGCCAAAGGTTCGGTATGAATGGATTCGCTTAAGATTCCAAAATTTTAAAAGTATAAGCACAATTTCGCAATATTTTGAACTACTTCTAAATTAAAATTATGTAGTGAAAAGATGATTGACGAAGACATCTTAGAGAAAGCATTTTTTACATTTCATGCCTGAATATGCTCCTATAACTAGAGCCGGCAAAATGGGTTTGGCTCGGCGGGCCAACCTGCCAAACGGGACGGGACGGGCTGAGTTTTTCAACTAATCTCAAAAGCGGAGCGAGGCGGGCTCATTGTTTGGCGGGTTGACGGCGGGCCGAGACGGGTCAGTGTAAAATAGGCTCGGGCTGGCGGGCCAACCCACCAAACGGGGTGGGGCGGGCTGAGTTTTTCAGTCCACTTTCAAAAGCGGGGTGGGGCGAACTGACTCATTTTTTGGCGGGGTGAAGCGGGGCGGACCGTCCACTTTGCCACCTCCACCTATAACAGCAATATCGATAGCACGGTTTTCAAAAAAAATATTTTGAGTTAATATCTTGTCTTCTAATTGCTTAACAAAAAATGAGCTTTTAATGATAAATCATCAATCACCATCCTTTGATATTGTATCATTTCCTGAAGTGAATGCAATTTACCGTTTGCATAAGTGAATGAGATACCATCTCATAATCGTGGACGTGGTCGTGGGCATGGACGTAACAATTTTTGGCATCGTGGTGGTCATGATTATAAAGCAAAATCAAATAATGAAGGAAAATATGAAAGGGGAAACATTTGTGACAAGATTAAAAAAAAGATTAAAATCAAAATCAAAATCACAAGTACCAGCTTTAAATACAGCTGCTTGAACTGGAGCCTGTTTGGACACTCTCTCTTTTAAGCTAGAAGCTACTTATAAGTTAAAGTTAAAAAAAAAAGATTAAAAAAAGCTAAAAGTTGTTTGATGATTACATAAAAAATTTAGCTTAAAAACATATATTTCAAGAAAATTCACTCCCTTTATTTCTATAACTCTTTATTTCAAAAAAATATTAATTCAAGAAAAACTGATAAGAGCTTAAAAAAAACTTCTTCAAGGAGCTTTTTTAGCTTTTTTCTTCATTATAAAAAAAAAATTTCTCAAAACATGTTTGACCTAACTTCTGCTTACAAATAGTTTTTAACTTAAAAAAAGATAGGATCCAAACAAGCACTTATATTCACAAATCCACTGCAACAATCTCAAATGAGTACAATATTCATCGCAAAGGTGGAAGGTCAATTGGTTCTAAAGTTACAAACCCAAGAAAAAGGAGGGAACAAAGTAAATTAGTTGGTGATACTATAATTGTCCATACCCCTGAATAAGTAGCGAAACAATAAAAAATCAATGGCAATGATGATGTGGAAACTCCGGAAGAGGTTCAGGTATCTAAAGATGTTAATGAGATCTCAATAACTTGCATTTCCAATGGTAAAAGATGGAACAAAATGAAATAATTGTTGATGACATATTTGCATATGCTATAGAAAATAATGCAATTAACAAAGAGGATTATGAGCCAAAAACTATTGGGGAATGTTGACACAGAAAAGATTAACAACAATGGAAAGATGCGATTCGGGCATAATTAAATTCATTTGAGAAATGTCAAGTTTTTTTCATGTAGTCAAAACAACTGATGATGTAAGACACGTAGGCTATCAATGGCCATTTGTGATAAAAAGTAATGAGAAAAATCAAATTGTAAAGTATAAAGCAACACTTGTGGCACAAGATCTTAAATAAATGGCACAAGGTCTTAAATAAATGTCAGGAGTTGATTATGAGAAGACATATTCTCCTATAGTGGATGTGTAAGAACTCGCACCGTTAATTAAGAAATTTAATTAATTAATTATGTGAAATTAGGAAATAATTCCATAATTGACCTTAATAATTATTATGAGGCTTTAATAATTATAGTAAATGAGTAATAATGCTGAAAGTCGCTTTTCTGACAAAAAGTGCAGATACCGGTTCTGCTAGTCGCTATAAATGCGTACCGATAAAGTATCCCAGAAAATTATTATAAGTGCATGAATATTCCTAGAATAATATGGAGGACTGTGATTTCAAGTTTCAAGTGATATCTCGCGAAATGCAGAAACTGCATTCTGTCGCGAAATATCCAGATATTGATATCCGAATATGTATATCCGGATATTGATATCCGGATATGGGGATATGAATATCTGGATATTGATATCCGGATATTGGCATAGAGATATCCGGATATTCTGGGTTTTCGAGGAACAGTAACTTACTGTTCATCCAGAACTGATGTTTGGGGTTTATGGGCCCTAGTTGGAGGAAGTTGAACTTCTGTATTAATTAACTAAGTCAGAATCAAGTGATTAAGGACTCGTGGCTTTGTTAAAAGCCTTAAGACGTGAAACGTAAAAGAGAAGCGTTGTCTTTATGTTTATGCTTATGAGCTATGTTATTGATATGATTGCTGGTCCAAATCAGATTGTGATTCTGCTGTGTTTGGGCTTTGAGCATTGGTTGGACTCTTGGCTTGGATTGTGAGCTTGCAAGGTAAGCTTTCGTGTCCTCGGTTTAGCCATGTTGTGGTTCCACCATGTCCCATGGGGGTATGGTTATATACATGCTGTGTTACATGCTTTGGATATTTGAAATACTTTTGAGCTGATATGTGCAATGGCTTATAATATGTATGTGTTGTTTCCATTTAGTCGGTAAGCCTGAGTATGTAGCGTCATACAAGATGGTGAGCCCGTGGGTGGGTGCAAGTAGCGTCTTGCATATTGTGTGGGTAATAGATGTATTCCTGCATTTCTCTGATCAGTAGAATAGAATTGACACACATGACATGATTATCTGTTGCATTGCACTATTTTGGAAATTATAATGTTAAGCTGCTTTTGAACTTATATTGCACATGTAAGTGAGCTTGGGGTGGAAAATCCTTGAGGACCCCTTGTCTTACTGAGATTTCTTGTTTAGAGATCTCACCCCACGTTTGGGGACGCTTATTTCAGGTTCAGGTAATTTGGGGGCTGATGCCTCTGGCGGCAAGAGGCCAGAGCTTAGTTGATGTTTTACTGTTTATATGTTGACTATATGGACGCTGAATTTGGATGCTGTTTATGTTTTTCGTCTTTATATTACTATGATACTGTTGTTGAGACTTTTGTTGGGCTTGTGCCTTATTTGGGTGAGCATGGGGTTGTCCATGCCACTTGATGTTAGTACTTTTAGTCTGAGTTGTATAATCTGATAGTTTGTCCGGTCTACGTGTTGCAGTTCCGTGACTAGAGACATATTTATGCTTTCAAATTAATGAGGTATTTCAGTTAGCTGTCTTTTGTAATTTACATATAGGCAATATTTTATTAATTGATTAATAAGCAAGTTGGTAATGATAATGACATCATCATTGAAAAGAAAAAGATATTCCGCATTTTTAATTAAGCGCAGCTTAATACGATGATATGATAATATTACCGGATATATACGGGATGTTACAGGATGCAACTACATTTAGATTTTCATTAGTCTTGCATTCCTTGAAGGATTCAAGACGAGGCTTATGGATGTTCCCACTGCTTATTTATATAGATCATTAGATAACGATGTCTACATGAAAATCCCTAAAAGATTAAAAATGCTTGAATTATATAAGTTAAAACCTCGAGAGATATATTCTATAAAATTAAAAAATATCCTTGTATAGACTAAAACAATCTAGAAGATTGTGGTATAATCGTCTAAGTGAAGATCTTATCAAAGAAGGATTTGAAAATAACCATATTAATCCATGTGTTTTTATTAAAAGATTATTATAAAGAGTTACCATTATTGCAGTATATGTGGATGATTTAAATATAATCGGGACTCATAAAAAGCTTGAGAAAATTGCAAAATATTGAAAGAATGAATTTGAAATGAAAGATCTTGAAGTAACTAAATTTTGTCTTAGTGTGCAGATCGAGCATTTGACTAATGAAAAAAAATTCACCAATCAAATTATATTTTACATGGATGTTTACCAATCAAATTCACCAATCATTGTCTTAGCTCATTCATTAAGTTTACCAATGGTTGTTCAATCCCTTAACATTAA